CATGAACACACACGTGCACACTCATGCACCCACTCATAGGAGTGAAAGAGTATGTGAATTTGGGGGATTCCAGCATTAGGTTTGGGCAGCTGTGAAATCTTGGTGTTGCTTTATTTTTTTAATTTATTTTTTATTGATGCTTTATTTTTTTTATGCTCTTATTGTCATTGTGAGTATTAGTCATGGTAGTATTTTGAGTGGGTTCCATAGAGGGGACCCATATAGTCCTGCCTGCTCAGGAGCTCCGCATGTGGATCAGCCTGGCCTTGAACTTGCAGGGGTCTTCCTGCAGCTGCCTCCAAGTGTGGGGTTACAAATGTGTGCCACCATGCTTTTAAGTTCAGAAGTGAGCCCGCTTGCTATTGATAAAAGTTATTCCTTCTCGTGTATGTTACTAGGTGAAATGTCATGTCTAAAGTGATAGCATAGTATCCCTTAGTCTATATAAAAAGTAGCTTAAGTCTTCTGAGCAGGAGATACTGTGTCATGAAAGTGCTGTGAATTCTGGGCTACTTCCAGGGCGATGCCAGGTGGAGCAGGCTGTTGATCCATTTCACAGGAGCTGGAGATGGTGGCTTGCTATGACCCAGCTACAGTTTAAATGTGTCTCAAAGCTCCTGTGTTGAAACAGTTTCTGTTGTGAGGTATTAGGAAGATGGAAGAAACATTTTCCCGAAATGCTGTTTAGAGCTGGGACCTTTGGGAGCTGAGTCAATGAGCCAAAACAAACCTTTTGTAAAGTAGACTGCCTCAGGTATGTTGTTATAGATTGAAAACAGACAAAATATAGATGCCATTACGTGAGTTATGTTTACAGATGTTGCTCCAGGAAGATCTGTTTGTTGTAACAGACTTGAAAGTCAGGCTGGTCTGATGGCATGGACCTGTAACCCCACCTCCTCAGGAGGCTGAGGAAGGATGATTGCCAAGCTCAATACCAACCTGGGCTACAGAGCTAGTTCAAGGACAGCCTGCGCAATGAATGAAGAAGGGAGGGGGGAGGGGGAGAGGGAGGTGGCAGATAGGAACACATCTTAGCGGTAGAGCACTCGTGCAAGGACCTGGAGTCAATCCCCAGTATTGAAAAACAAACAACAAAGGCCCTTAAAGTCAACCTAAAGTCTTGGAAAAGATCCAAACCAATATCCAAGGAAAGTGAAAACACGTGACAGGAGCTGATAGAAGAACCCTGTGGGACCCTTACAGTGGCAGAAATGGACAGAAGAGAAGGCTTTCTTTTAATTAAGAGAACTGAAGTCCGAAAGACGGCTCAGCAGCTAAGGGTAGCTCACAACCACCTGGAACTCCATCTCTGACGCCCTCTTCTGGCCTCCTCAGACCCTGCACTCACTTGTACAACCCCCCTTCCCATACAAACATGATTAAAACACACACACACACACACACACACACACACACACACACACTCACACCAGTAACCAGGGCTTTTGGTTGTTTCCCTGAATCACACACTATTATTGTTATTTTCTGATTCCTTAGACATATCACCCAGGACGAGCTATTTTCTTAGACTTTTGCTTTCTGTTCTAAGGAGGCAGTGTAGATAGTGGATCTGGAGTCAGATAACTTTGTGTGTGTGTGTGCGCGCACGCTGTGCACATACGTTCTGTGTGTGTGTGTGTGTGTGTGTGTGTGTGTGTGTGCATATGCATATTCCTGAGCACAGCACACTTGTGGAAGCCAGAAGATGGATGTCAGGTGTCTTCCTCAATCATTTCCACCTTGTTATTTTGGGACATAGTTTTTCCCTGAACCTGAGAGTCTGTGCTTCAGCCAGAGGGCCTTGTCAGTGAACCCCAGGAAACCTCTTGTCTCTGCCCCCTCAACACTGGGATTATATAGGTAATCCTGCTGCTCCTGGCTTTGCATGTGGGTGCTAGGAATGGAGCTCAGGTACCAGAGGGGCCCATCTTACTTTCTGTTCGATGGAAAGCTGCCACAAAGAGTTATCCACAGGTTTGGTTAGCGCTGGCAGTAAAAGGGCTGGCTGGTTGCATTTCCCCAGAAGGGGAGCCAGCTCTCAAGTGCCTGAACAAAACCAATGATGTGCATTTATTTGCCATAGATTAGGGCAGTGGAACCCCTAGCATGGTATGGTTGCTTATTTAAAGAGTGCCAAGAATTTTGGCGTCCTTTCAGACCAGGCTGAAACATGGAGCAGAGCCTGTGGCTGCCTGAGGTAGTTCCTAGAACAGTGCACTTGTGTCCTGGCGTTTATTTACTTAAGAGGATCTGCTGGAGCAGGGGAGTAAATGGTCAAACTGTTCCGGAGGCAGAGGACAGGAGGTAAGTTAGCGGGATGCGTGGCGGAAGGAGCCCCGCTTCAGGAATCTCCTGTAACGATGATTTAAAAATCTGATATGTGGGGAGGAACTCTGATATGTGGGGATTGATGGTCCGTGATAGATAAGGAGCCAGGAACTCAGTTCTTAGCCACAAGCTGGAGAGTCACTTTGGAAGGGCCAGTAGGGTCATTTGGTAAGTTGTTCTAGGGAATTTGCTTTGATGAGAGGAATGGCACCTATAATTCCTTACATACTACCGCACTGCTGAGCACCAACACTGCACCTAGGTTTAGGATGATCTTCAGTCTCACAGAAATGCAGGAAATTGACCCCCAGAAAATTTAGATGTTTAGGCGTGAATCTGAGTGTGGAGGTAAAGACAGGCAATGCCAACCATTAGACCTTGGACAGGCTAAGGCAGAAGACTGAGTGCTAAGCCAGCACAGGCTACATAGTGAGACCCTCTCTCAAAAAAGCAAGCAAAACAAAGGCTAGGATGTGTTGTTTTGCCCCCTAAAAGGACATTGCTGTCAACTCTTAAGCCTATTATTCTGTGTGTGTGTGTGTGTGTGTGTGCAGGCGTGCTTGTGTGTGTGCCTATGTTTTGAAGCCAATAGACAACTTCAAGGGTGGTTCCTTAGTAGCTGTTTTTGGAGACAGGGTCTCTCAGTGGCCTAGAGCTAGACTCACACATAGTACAGGGACTCGAACTCGGGTCCTTCCACTTGTGCAGAAGGGACTTCTCCAACTAAGCCAGCTCCTCAGGCCCACGTTTGGTAAAAATATATGGCTGCCTAGCCTATTTTCAGTAATCAATATGAGAATTTTTTTCAATCATGCTTTAAAAATGGCTTGCTTTGTTCGTCTCTTAATTGAAAGCTTATTTTCTCCTAGATTCAAGCCTTTTTTTTTTTTTTTTTTTTAATAGAACCTTGTCTCTAGTGTTTGGGACAAAAAAGTCAATAGTGGAAAAAAGAACTTGCTGTGAATACAGTTCCCTCGGCAGGTCATTCTTTGCGGAAACGGGAGGAAGGTTGACGCAGTGTGCTGCCAGCTGGTAGACGCCCTATTTTTGTCTTCCGATGGACAACGTGATAATTGTACACATTTGTTCGATATGGTGGGGGCGTTTACATTTAAAGTATTACTGTATATAAGGATTAAATGTATATAAGGATTGGGTCAGGGTAGCTGGCATATCTTCCACTTCAGATTCTTCTCATTTCTTTGCATGCGGGACATGCAAAATCCCCTTGCCTGCTGTGGAGAAATACAGTTTGTGCTTCTGTCCTGAGGACTTAGATAACCCCCCGAGGCTTCCACTCAGATGAACACACGGATTTTACCCAGGACCTTGTAGCTCAAACCAGTCAAGCTGGGTTTTGAACTTCAGCTCAACCAAAGTGACAGGCCTGGTTCTCGGATGGAGCCAGGCCTGTAGATGTGTTTTGTGCCTCACGTCCCCTTTCAGCCAAGTCGCCCTACAGTGATAGTGCAAGACCTGCTATCCCCTAAGTGTCAAGCCTGCTGATGTAAGATATTTTATGCAGTCACCCATGTGTCCTGTGTGCCATTGGGTTAGGGGACAGCCTCAGGGTCAGTGACATTCAATTCTGTCACCCACCCACCCATCCATCCGTCTGTCTGTCCGTCCGTCCGTCTATCCGTCCATAGGCAGGGTTTCATGTTTCACAGGCTGGCTTTGAACTCACTGCGTAGCCACGGATGACTGAACTCCTGATCTCTCTACCTCCCAAGTGCTAAGCCCCAGGCAGGTGCTACTATGGCTGCGTTTGGGCAATGCTGCGGATGGACCCAGGGCTCTGTGTGCGCTAGGCAAGCACTCATGCAACTGAGCCGCATCCCTGGCTCTAGATAGGACGTATTTAAAAACAAAATAAAACTAATGCAGAACACCTCCACAACAAACCAAACGACAGAAGTTTAAATAAAAACTGGGTAGGTAACAGTGTGGTGCCAAACCACATCGGAGCACCAGAGGAAAGGGAAGATGGAGCCCACTGACACTTTCTATGTAAAATGTTGGCATTTGCTTGCCATGCACCCTATTCCGGGACTCAGGAAAGAACCCAGAGCTCTGTTCATGCGAGGCATGACCATCCCTCACACACATCCCTGGCCCCATTGTGACATCTTTGTACATTAATTTGGAATTTTTAAAAGCTTATCACACGAGGACATCTATCTTGATGCCTGCATATCTGCCCAACTCTTGCTGCGCTAGTTCTTGTCCCAGCCCTGCTTCGCACGCCTCCTATGTGCCAAATGGCTGAAGATGCTGTGCTGCAGGAGCTTTCAGATCCATGGAGTCAACGTAACTGTGCAAAGGGGGAGGGAAAGAGGCGATGCTGAGTCAGTGGTCCACGGGAGGTGGGGTTGAGAGAGACTCAAGGGCCAGTGGACAAATTGGGACATGATAGAAATGGCAAATCCCTCACTTTTCTTTTTCTGTTTTTGGTCTGAACCTCATTTTTTGGTTTGTTTGTTTATTTTGTTTTGTTTTTGTCTAAATAGTGGGGGGGGCAGGAGAATGAGTGTTGTAACAGGCCTGAGCACATGTTCGTTTGGTCCAATGATGGTAAGGACCTTGCAGAGTGACGGTAATTTCCCCATGTGCAGTGAGCTTGGGGCAGAGCCTTTGGGTGGTGACACTGTGTGACCTGTGTTTTGTAGACATCCATGACGGAGATGGGAGCTCAAGCAGCAGCCACCAAGGCCTCAAGAGCTCAGCCAAGTGGGCGGCCTCCTTGGAAAATCTTCTGGAAGACCCCGAGGGCGTGAAGAGATTTAGGGTTTGCCTTTTCATTGTTCACTAGAATTGATGCACTAGAAAGGACTTGGACGTGTGTGTGGCGGGGATGGAGGGTGGAGACGCAGGGACCAGGACAATGTTTGACACTGTCTGTCTCAGCTGGGGAACAGCTGATCTGTCATGACCACCTGGGACTTCCACGAAGGGACTTGCAGCCTGTCTCTGGTTTTCCTGTAGTTAGCGGGGAGGTGGGTGGGGTAATGGAGAGTGGGAAGCGTGCTCCATCTGAGCGGGGTCCCGACAAAGGGTTTCCAGGACTGGGAGGACGATCTGGGTCCCTCTGGTCTGACGGTTTGCTCACTCCAGTCTCAGCCCCTCTCTGGATGCACCACTCCTGGAGAGAGAGGAGAGGTGACTGTGGGAAGGATCTCCCAAAGGAGAGCTGGTAGACTGGGTAGGGGAGGCCACCAAGAGGTAGTTTCGCCTGCCAGTGTGACTGCCGCTGCCCATGGGGATTCCAGGCCTGAGCCTGGGCAACTTGGATTTTTAAGAGACTGGCCAAGATGTTGCTGATCTCCACAGAGCTCCTGGGGTGGGGAATAGAACTGTGAGCATTGTCTAGATGCCAGGGAGGTCTGAAGGGCTGACCATGTGCTCACTCCTCACCAGCAGGAAAGCACACCTCCAACTTAAAATGGGCTCCGTTGCTTCGATTTGGACAGGCTTAATACGTTTTCTTTCCTTTTGTTTAAAAAAAAAAAAAAAAAAAGGGCCTGGCTTTGGAGGAATGCACTTTGTTTAAACAGTGTCTGGAAGGAGCCGATATATCTTAGGCTTTAATTTACTTTTTGGTAATTTATTGTCAGCTTAGAAATGCGAGTAGATTCCACACTTCATTTTTATTCTGCCCTCCAATGTCAAAACCATTAAGGTGAAATGCGTAAGAAATTCTCGCTTCAACATTAAACAAGTTCTTTGTCTTTCCGGGTGGAGTTTTTTCAAGGGATGATTAAACCGGGCCCCTCAGTCCACTTTTGCTAAATCATCTTCTAAAGGAAACTAACTCATGCTTTCTCAACGTCCCTTTTTTATCTATAGGAATTTTTGAAAAAGGAATTCAGTGAAGAAAATGTCTTATTTTGGCTGGCGTGCGAAGATTTCAAGAAAATGGAGGACAAGACGCAGGTATGTCTCTGCCATCTGCTTTCTTGACGAGTCTTCCCTCTCATTACGCAGTCACAGACACCTGTTGCGTAGATTTGGGAATTGCCCAGACTGTCCTCACTTGTACCAGAGTCGAAGGAAGATTGTAATTTTCAATAGGTTGTGTTAATCACATACTAATAATTTCTTTAGGGAGAGAAGGTTAGTCATTTCTAAAGAGAGCTGTTCAAGCAGGCCAGCATTCAAAGTAAATGTAACAGTTTTCATTTATAGTTTGTTATTGTGTCGACTGTTTTCTTCATAAGTCAGTCATAAGGGTGTCTCCCCAGGGTGACATCGGTGTTGTCAGATGTGAGCCTCGAGTTTAGCAGATGTGTAGCCGTGAGAGCACACTGTTCGTCAGACAGACCGCCAGTCATTGACTCTGTGACCCCCCACTAGCTGATGGGCATTCTGTGTAGGGGGCTTGTGACTTCTCCTTCTCCCCGAAGGTGTTTGTGCTTTGCTGAAGGTCCCCGTGCAGCCACTGAAGGAGAGGTGTGAGACAGGTGGGCTGGGTGAGTTTCTGTTATTACTGCTTTGTCTTTCTAGTGGGCTTCTGAAGACCGTGAGCCCTGTGAAGCAGCGTAGATTCTGGGCAGGGATGCTGGAAGTGGGTAGATGGGGCCAGCAGAGGTTCTGTTTCCAGTGCCTGCATTGCCCGCTGAGGGCCCTGAGGCCTGGGTCTTCTGTGCTCTGCATCTGTCTTTAGCTCGCTGCCAGGAGTGCTCCAGGCCTTGGCTTCCCTACCCTTATACTTCCGTTCCTGGAACCTGGGGGACCCTCTTCCCACAGAGCCTTCTCCCACGACTGGACATTTGGATTCTTTTATTCCTTTTGGTGCTGGGGATGTAATGTGGGGTGTGGTCCATGTCTCAGGCACACACCTTACCTCTGAGACTTGTGCCCAGCCTTCGTTGTACTGTCTTTTGAGACAGGGTCTCACTAAGTTGTCCAGGTTGACCTTGAACTCATTCCCAATAGGCCACTGAATCTTAGTAGCTGGGGTTGCAGGCATGTGCCTGTAATTCTAAAGTGACACCATCTAATTTGTCAATATTAGAACTAATTTTAGTTTATAACTTTGCTGTCTTTAGTTATTGTTCATTGCTGTGAAGAGACACCATGACCAATGCAACTTTTTTTTAATCTATTTTTTCTTCTTCTTTTTTTTTTTCAATCTATTCATTATATATCCCACTTGAAGAGCCCTTCCTCAACTCCTCCCAGCCCCACCTTCCCTCCCTCTTCCACTGTATCCCCTTCCCGATGTCCACTGAAGGGGGGAGTTCTCCTCCTCTGGACCAACGCAACTTATAAAAGAAGAAAAGCATTTCTCTGGGGACTCATTTGCAGTTTCATAGGGTTAGTATATGATCATCATGGAGAGAAGCATGATGGCATGCACAGAGCTGATCAGTGGCTGAGAGTTTACATCCTGATCCACAGGCAGAAGACACACACAATATACACTCAACACACACATAAACACACACACACACACACACACACACACACACACACACACACACACA